CTATTCCCGTCTGTCCGCCCCTATATATGTTTAGATCTTTAAAACTACGCAATGGATTTTGATGCGATTTTTTTTAATAGATAGAATGATTCAAGAGGAAGGTTTATATGTATAATACATGCATAATATAGTAGAGGAACACTGATAAATTTAGAGGTTTCTAATGTGATGTAGTATGAGTCCGTGCGAAGCCGGGGCGGGTCGCTCACTACACTCACGGTCTCCCAAAACATGCACTAGAACTAGAGCTTCATTTTACAAAGTCAAAAATTACAAATAACATTTAGAAATTCTATCTTATTTATCATTAAAAATATCAATATCTGTCTGCTGTGCAATCAGAGAATTGAGCAAAGTACAGGTGCGAAACGGCGGTGCCGATAGTAATCGACGTGCACGCAATCCCATGCAGCATTGGGGTGCGTACAAAGAATAACGGTTGAGAGCCGCGGGATTGTCTATTCTGCCGTTGAACAACAGATCTTATATGCTATTATATCTTCAAGGGTAGAAGGCTATGTGCTTATTAAAGAATATATATAAACAAATTCAGCAGTTAATACTTTTAACACGAGTCCAATTGCGCTGCAGAAGTAACCTACCAAATTCAACGGGTGAGTTCTCAGCAGTTAGATCGTTTAGGGTCAACTTTGTCCCAGATTAAAAAGCATACCGTCTCGTAATTATAAACGTCATAAAATTAGTAAAGTAGTTTAGTTAGTAAAAAAAAAAAAAAGAAAAAAAAAATTGTTACGATTCATTACAATCAGCTACTTCAGTCTACTGATGGACAAAGGCCTCTACTAAGACACGCCACTGAGTACGATGTTCAGTTCTTTATTACCAGTTTCTTTATTACCGACAACTAAAAGGGATGAGTTTAGGGGATATAACATCCCCCTGTCTTACTCCTCATCGCAGATAAATATGATCAGTTTGCTGATTTTGTATTTTTTTTTTTTGTTGGATGAAAATGGATTGATAACCCCGCCTGCGCTAACGGGATACGCTGACGGAGCACCAATGAAGGGTGATCTATGAGAATGAAAACAGGCCAGTTAGCCTATCATGATGTACTCATCATGAAGAATTAATCATGACAGTTTCCAGGGGGAACCGCGTGGAGGTCGACCTGGTTAGGTATATTGTTAGCATTGGGATTTTTAGTCTCCATTACTAACAATCCCTTTCCCCCACTGATTTTGTATTTGGACATTTCAACACTTGGATATATCGTCAGTCAATTTTGGATCAATGCAGAAACTCCAAAACAGACCAGGTCTCGATAGAGTTAAAAGGCATTTTTATAATCAACAAAAACTAGACACAATGGCTGCCTATATTCTTCTGTGTTTTACATAATCTGCCGCACTGTGTAAATGTACCTATGGTGTCGTATCCACTTCCAAACCCGGCCTGTTCAGGGGTTTGAAATTCGTCCAGTCGTCGCGCAAGACGGTTGTTCTTGGTGACCGTTGAAACAACTTGAAGGCTCAGCAGCGAGATGGGTCGATAGTTTTTCGAAAGTATCTTATCTCTAAAAAGAAAACGACCATGCCTGCGGTATCTTCCCAGTGAAGAAGACTGAGTTGAAGAGTTCCTGAAGCTCTTTAGTATCAGAGTGCCTCCTGCCTTCAAAAGTTCAGATGTAATTCTATCTTTACCGGGGGTTTCCTTTTTTCTAGTTGTCGGAAAGGCATCACGATCTCGTCACGACTGATTTGTGGCAGTTCGTCCGTGTATGGCGTATCAAGGTAGCTCTGGTCGAAGGACTCCTCAACCTCCATGAGAAGCTTCGCCATAGAAGTTGTAATAGTACTTGTGGAAGTAATTAACTTCGTCAAGTGACTTCCCCCCAGCTGTGGGACGAACACTTTGGTTCCCAGACTCTGATCTATTTTTTTTTAATATAAAATTTAATTATAATACTTAAGTGTAATTATTTAAAATCTTATGACGTCTCCATACTGCCGTAAGAGATGGTAATTTTTTTTTTTAATATGTGTCAGATTAGAATTATTAGAATTATTGAGGACAGAAGGGGAAAAATGTTAGGACACTTGATACGACACGACGAACTTATGAACATTATAATAGAAGGTAAGATAGAAGGAAGAAGGGGGAGAAGGAGACCGAGACATAGTTACATCAGGCAGATCAAGGAAGGAGTTGGTGTCGTGTCGTATCAAGAGGTGAAGAGACTCGCTGAAAATCGTAGTGAGTGGCAAGAACTCCACCGATAAGAACGCAGCTCTTAAATGGTTAGATAGAGATAGATGTGTCAGATTGTTTTTTTTTTCCAGTTCGTAAAGTATTTATTTTAATTAGTATTTAGTATTACTATTTTTTACCTTGAAACCTCACATCAAATGGGAACGTTGATTTTTGCTATTCTAATTTTAAAAAATCAATCAATCCAACTAAATAAAAAAAAAAAATGTAAAATATAAAAATAAAAAAGGTACATGTCGGCGCTCATAAAACACTTAAACCTCTAATATATTGAACAAAATGTAATATTTTATATTGTAACAATATATAACAAGATATTTTTCAAATAAAAACATTTTTTTTTGGTCATTCCATTGCTGCGTTCATAACGACCCGCGACTTACGTTTTTTTTTTTGGTTTGTTTTTTATTTATTTATTTATTTAATATAACACTTTTAAAATACTTAAACGGTAATGTCAAATGTAACAGCTTTGGAAGCATTATATTAACTATTATTAAACAATTAACTCTACAATTAGTCTTATATAGAAAGAGTCCGATCGTATTTTCTTTTTTATTTCTTTATGTCAATAAAAATATAAAGGAGAATTGTGTACCAAGTCCGTGAGTTAATTTAAAATACAAATCCGAAGCCTGTTTAGAAGCGTCAAGTAAGCCGTAGATCGTAGATAGCTTAAACTTTTAATTAACTATAATCATAAACAAAGTATTTATGAATGTAGAAGGATTGGATGTCATAGAATCATTTAGTATATTCTCTATTAAAAAATATGCTAAGATTAGAGTTGCTAAATTATATCAATCCATGCTTTAAGATATATAGATACTTTGATGGACTATTTAAAATCGTTATCTGTAATGACAGATAATACATGGGTTGAGGGGGTGGGGGGGGATGATGCTAGTGAGGTGCTATAGGATTATAAAAGTGTCGCATCAAATTACATTTTGAAGTGAACAGTATGAATAACTGACGGTCATTTCTTTTTTCATCGACAGGGGGCGCTGTGACAGTAACTGCCTCGGGGGCGCCAGGTAGGCTAAAACCCCATCTTTCAATAAACAGGCTTTCAAAAAATTATACGCAGTAAATTATCAGGAATTCGGAAAAATCGATCATAATATCTGATATGTAATAAAATAATGTATAAAAAAGTAAAAAAAAAAAATTAAGCCGTAGATATCATTTCAAGTCCCTTAAAAATATGAAAAAAAAATGTATTAGGTATTGATACTGGTATAAAATTAAGTATAGGTACATCGGACATTCGGGTAAACTCAATGTATATATATATATATATATATATATATATATATATATATATATATATATATATATATAATTTTTCTTTACAATAATCAGTATTATGGTTAATCACATCGAATAATGTAAACGTAGTGACATATTGACGCAATGATCATACGCCGCTCATAAGAATGGAAGATCAGAATGTTAAACTTGTTACCATATTCTAGTTTACTTAATTAGTGTCAGCAAATCTCTATAGTGCAGTCATTCTTATCAATAATATCATTAAAATTTAATATTTACCCACTTATCAATATTGGTAAATACGAACACACATACGCACACACATATATATACATATATATGTTTGTATATACATATATATGTGTATAAATCAGTGTTCATTCCCGTCATATCCTAACCACAGTCAAGCTCCGAGTCAGGCCCCGTTTACACAGTGACAATTGGATGCAATAATTGTGCGTCGTGAATAAATTAGTGAAAACTATTGTTACCCCTTAAACACTATTGTATTATGTAGAATTTATATATATTTTTTTTTGGTGTTTTATTACACAACGTTTTATTATTTTGTAACTTCTTAATTGAAGTTATGAAGTAATAAAACAATATTAATTGTTACATTAGTAATGAATTATTTTATATTTTATTAATTGAATATCAAAGTGTAATTGTAAAATATAAATGCGCACACGCACGCTCTGTCCTATGTTACGTACAAAAAAGTGTACTTAAATGAAAAATTAAAATATAATGAGTGGGCATTAACAGATATGATTACGAAACAGCCTCTTAGAGACTGATGTGGTTATAAAAAAAGAAAACTGTAAATAATGCTACAGTTTTAAAATAAACTATTCTTTTTTTTTTTTTTAGTTAAGTCTTTTTAAATTTTGACGTAGAAGAACTATCACTGTGTAAACACGCCATTAAAATGGCGTTCCCAGTGAAACTGGTAACGTCTGCATTACGTGTCGAAATTCAAAGGAAATAAAACAAATCCATTGTATTCCCGCGTGATGAGTTTAGAAGTACGTTTATAGAACTAAAGTAGCACTGACGTTTAGTTAAAAAATTGTAAGTGAGGAAAATATCTATTGCTTAATAATTTTTACTTCAGTATGGATTCTTTATTTAATAATATTTCTACATAAATTAAATTAAATTGCTAACTAATTTAGAATGGCAAACAAGCTGACGGCCCACCTGATGGAAAGTAGCAACCGTCGCCTACAAACATGAGCAGTACCATGGACATAATAGAGTATACTGTTTCGCCCATGATACCCCTCTTGCGTTGCTATTCCTGAGGACTCAGGTGTTATTTCTCTGTACCGTGTAATTTCACTGCCATATCCGACCGTTCAGACTGGAACACAGCCGTGCTATCACGACTGCTTCACGGCAGAAAAGCGAATGGGACAGAGGTACGCAGGCGACTTTTGTCTTTGTACAAGAGTCGACTGCTCCCTCCTTCCTCTTCCACACCTCCCCCCCTAAATCGCTCCCACCCTTTCCCCGCCTCCCTCCGATAAGTTACACTACTTTTAAACCATCATTTGGAACCGTGAATCAGTTGTGTTTGCATGGCTGTGTTTCGGTTTGAAGTGTGGGATATGGCGTGAATTTACTGGGTACAGAGTAATAACACCTGAGTCCTCAGGAATGGCAACGCATGAGGGGTATCATGGGCGAAACAATATACTCTGTTATGTCCATGGTACTGCTCATGTCTATTGGCAACGGTTACCACTTTCCATCAGGTGGGCCGTCAGCTTGTTTGCCATTCTAAATCGTATAAAAAAAAACTGTACAAAGAACTATCATAAACTTCCGCTTTGACAAGCAATGCAAACGTTATGGGCCCATCAGTCCCCACTATATGTATACTTGAACAACAATATTTACATCTAGTCAAATCTCACTATATAGTCTTATACTACATATACGTTACTCAACATGAATTTGACAATTGCCAGCCGGGGAGTCCATTTTTCACTTCACCAGTCGCTCTATGGTGTTGTCCCATTGTGTTTTAAAATTCAGTCATCTAGAATCAATCGGTTGCGATCTGAGATCGATCTGAAAATGGACGGAACCCTTGTACATATTTACAGACTGGCGATCCGACCCGGCTTCGCACGAGTGGACGGAATTTTCGAAAATCAATACATATATAGTGAACGCTCTATATAAGCAACATTCTTTATATTTTATTTATTCTACTCAGCTTAGTTAGTAAAAAAAAAAAATAGGTAAAAATATTTTCCAGACGGTAAGTATTTTTATACTCCTTTTTTCCCCTATAAGCAACTTTTCCCTATAAGATATATTTTTATACATATTGGTCCAGATGAGTTGCTTATATAGAGCGTTCACTGTAGCATAATAAAAAAAAAAAACTAACAGCCAACTGATTGGTTATTTTATAGAATTTTATATGTAATTCTTTAGATTGATATAACTTTTTTGTTTATGAAAATTTTTTCACCTACTTTAAACCCCTATTACTTCAAGATCAACAAATCACCCCCCAAGTCTCTACACAACGCCCCCATTTTTTTCTGGGTCTCTTATCGCTTCCCTTTAGGCCTGCAGCGCCCACAGGGGGGCGTTATCGCCTACTTTGGGGAAGGCTGATGTAGAGGAACCGAAGGTCTTTGATTCGGAACACCCATTGTCTCTGCCTACCCCAATGAGAGACACGCGTGAAGAATATATATGTATGCAGTATAGTTATGATTACCTCGCTCAGAATGACCCAGTAGTTGCAGTCTCTGGTGATCTTGAGCCTGATGGCTGTAATGGGGCCGATATCCTTCTTCAGTTCTCCGTCAGCGAGACCGAACTCGTCGAATACACCCACTTGGGTGAAATTACTATAAACGGGCAACACCTCCACTGCACAGTCGTACAACTTGTCAGAGACATGTTCTACGTTACCACTGCGGAATGTGTACCTGAAATTAAGGATAATATATAGGACAATATCTATAAATTGCAGTTGCTATATCTATATATTGCTGTTGCTATATCTATATATGGCAGTTAGTCTATATATATTTCAGATACTATATATTCATATAGCAGTTACAATATCTATAAATTGCAGTTGCTATATCTATATATCAGAGTTGCTATATTCATATATCGCAGTTGCTCTATCTATATACTGCATTGCATTTGGTATATCTATAAATCGCAGTTGCTATATTCATACATTGCAGTTGCTATATCTATACATTGCGTTTGCTATATCTATATATCGCAGTTGCTATATACATACATTGCAGTTGCTATATCTATACATTGCGTTTGCTATATCTATATATCGTAGTTGCTATATACATACATTGCAGTTGCTATATTCATACATTGCAGTTGCTATATTCATACATTGCAGTTGCTATATCTATATATTGCGTTTTCTATATCTATCTATCGTAGTTGCTATATTCATACATTGCAGTTGCTATATCTATACATTGCGTTTGCTATATCTATATATCGTAGTTGCTATATACATACATTGCAGTTGCTATATTCATACATTGCAGTTGCTATATCTATATATTGCGTTTTCTATATCTATCTATCGTAGTTGCTATATTCATACATTGCAGTTGCTATATCTATATATTGCGTTTGCTATATCTATATATCGTAGTTGCTGTATTCATATATTGCGGTGGCTACTTCTATATATCGCAGTTGCTATAACTATATAGTGCAGTTACTGTATCTATATATTGAGCAATAACGGATATATTAAATAATGGATATCTAATACCGAAATACAGAACTTTATCGAAATGTACACAGATATCTGACAAGATTACAAACAAACAGTCAATTTTTTACTCTTCATAATTGTAGTATAGATTCCTCTGGTAAAAATTTTTAGTATAAAATCATTATCATTATCATCATCAGCCTTTAACTGTTCACTGCTGAATATAAGCCTCCCCCTTGGGGGGTTTCGCCAATAGTTGGCACGCTTGGCAGAGGAATTAGCAACCACAGTTAGGCTTTGGAGATGTTTTTAGAGGGACGCTGCTGTTCATCCCTCGTTCTCCCTTAGTCGCTTCTTACGACACTCACGAGAAAAGAGGAGTGGCCTATACTATGCCGGGACCACATGGCCATATAGTATAAAATGGTTATAATTAAATAAATTGACATTACCAGAGATTGAAAATCACCAGAGAGAGACTTTGTACAAAAGTTGATTGCTTAGGTACCTCTGTCGCATTCGTGTTTCTACCGTGAAGTTGTGTTTGCACGGCTGTGTTTCGGTTTGAAGGGCGGGATATGGTGTGAATTTACTGGGTACAGAGGACTAACACTTGAGTCCTCAGGAATGGCAACGCATGGGGGGTATCATGGGCGAAACAGTATACTCTATTATGTCCATGGTACTGCTCATGTCTATAGGCGGCGGTTACCACTTTCCATCAGGTGGGCCGTCAGCTTGTTTGCCATCCTAAGTTGTATAAAAAAAATTGTTAAAAAAACAAACCTCTCGAGAATGATGGGTTTGTTGAACCAAAACTCTATTAAATCTCCCTTCTTCGGCTTCACTCCCCAGAAGTAGGTTTGACCGTCGTAGGCCCTCCTCAGCGTGTGATCGGTATGTTCCTCGATAGTGGTTCGAACATTTGCAATGGGCAGGTTGCTGTGGGGGTAGAAGGTTGGTACTGCGCCATATTGGGCATCCTGTGAATGATCATTGATGAAGTATCATTTAATGCTACTATTTATCATGTAAAATTGTATGAAAAATTTGATCCATTTTTTTTCGAAGCATTTGTATGGAGACACTCTATTTATACAATCTAAGGGTGAAATATATATGTATGATGTTGCTATACTTGGCCTATTTTCTTTTTCAGTTATATTCTGTGTGTAAAATCTCCTTCACCTTACCTTAATCTTCTGGATCTTGCCTTTGAGAGAGGAATACAGCCCAATGTGTTGGAATAGAGATGTTTTAAATTTTGGTCTAATTTGCAGTTTGCTTTGGCCACATGCTTTCTGAAAATTATATTTGAAATGTATATATTATATTATTTAATTATACATATAGCTATATTCTTATATAGACGTCATGTAGTTCCGGCATAGAATGGGCCACCCCTTCCTTTTCCTTGGGTGTCATAAGAGGCGATTAAGGAATAATACCAAATATTGGGGGGGGGGGGGAGGGGAAGAGGGATTGTTAGCAATGAAGTTTGACAGCCCCATTGCTAGCAATATGCCTTATTAGGTCAACCTCCACGTGGTTCCCCCTGGAAACCATCGTGAACAATTCTTGTTGAATTCGTCACGATAGGCTAACTGACCTGCTTCATCCTCACCTATCATTCTTCACTGGTGCCCCACCTGTATATACCGATAGCGCAGTGGGGTTACCATTCCATTATCATCCATTAATACCAAATATTAGATTAAGATATAGTATACTTATTATTAGAAGGGCCAAATTAAAAGTACTCGTAACCGGCGAGCGTGTATGAAAGGATTGATAAATGTGGAAGAAGCGAAAGAGGTTTGTTTGAATCGAAGCATTTGGCGTTCCATTGTTTCTGCCTACCCTAATGAGAGACAGGCGTGACAGATATGTATGCATGTATGTATACTTATTACCTTAATCCATGTGGATAAAGTACCATAATAAAGTTGTAATTATCCACTTAGTAATAAATCGTAAAGTAATTGTCCACTGCTCAACATAGGCCTTCCCCATGTTTTGCCAGTAGTTGCCACACTTGTGAGGCAACAGGTTGGCAAGTACAGTTAGACTTTAGTGATGTTTTAAAAGGGACGCTGATGTCCAGCTCTTGACCACTGAACACCATTAGTCGCCTCTTACGATACTCACAGGAAAGATATGGCCCATTCCATGGCAAGACTTCAAGGCACAAAAATGAAAGACAATAGTTGCATACCGAAGTTTTGTCGATGGTGCATACACGGTCTGCTAGGTAGCTTTCTAGAAGCCAGTCGATTGGCATATTGTTGTAAAACAATTGCACGTATACGATGAACTTGGCCAGATCCGTCGACCTGAACAGCTTCCCGATACCACCGACGTGGCAGTATTCTATGAAGAACCAATCGGGTGTCCTGATTGTCGTATCCGCTGTGAACTGCTTGATATCCTAAAGACCGACAATTTATTCCGGTGATGTGAGAAATCCATTGTTTTAGTAAGTACCAGAGGGAGACTTTGTACAGAAGTCGTTTGCTTGGCCACCTCTATGCCATTTGTGTGTCTACTGTGTCGCAGTTGTTTGCATGGCTGTGTTTAGGTTTGAAGGGTGGGACATGGCAGTGAATTTATAGGGTACAGAGGAATAGCACCTGAGTCCTCAGGAATGGCAACGCATGGGGGTATCATGGGTGAAACAGTATACTCTGTTATGTCCATGGTACTGCTCATGTCTATAGGCGACGGTTACCACTTTCCATCAGGTGGGCCGTCAGCTTGTTCACCATTGTAAGTTGCATAAACAAAAAAAGTATTATAATAACATTAAGAAACTGTTTTAATTATTTTCCTGAATTAGGTGTCATTTTACTGAAGTCGGTATCATTTGTTAGTCGAATAGAATTATTTAATTTAATTCCGCTACCATTAGTGTGTGTGACTGCCAACACTCAAAGATTGATTACGTATGTATATCAATAATTACTAGTACCGCATTCGAGTATTCTGACACTTCCCTATGGTTGACTGAGAGAGGATGCTTTTAGCATTTTTTTTTTGATGAGTGAAAATGATATGGTAACCCCGCCTGCGCTAACGGGATACGCTGGCGGAGCACCAGTGAAGGGTGATAGATGAGAATGAAAACAGGCCAGTTAGCCCATCATGATGAATTCATCAGGAATTAACCATGATAGTTTCCAGGGGGAACTATGAGGAGGTCGACCTGGTTGGGTATATTGCTAGCAATGGGATTCTCAGTCTCCATTACTAACAATCCTTCCCCCCCCCCCCCCGTTTTATGCATTAAGTCCGCCAATTACGCATATATGTACTAATAAATAAATAATTCTTTTTTTAAATAAAACAGAGGGCAAACGAGCAGGCAGCTCACCTGATGGTAAGTGACTACCGCCGCCCATGATCACCCACAACACCAGCGGCATTGCAAGTGTGCTGCCGCCCTTTTAAAAAGGAATATGCTCTTTTCTCGAAGGTTACGATGTCAAATCGGTTCGGAAATACTGCTGCTGGAAGTTGATTCCAAAGCGTGGTTGTGCGTGGAAGAAAGTGCCTTGAAAAACGCACGGTGGAGGACCGCCACTCATCCAGATAATTGGGACAGAACTTTAATTGAAATTTACTCGAATAATTCTAATCTGAAATATATATACCTGCATATAAGACTTCTTCGCAATGACGTCATCTTCTAGCATTAAATAGAAGGTGCCTTTGCTCTGTGCGTACGCCATTAAGTAGATGGTATCGAGGTTCTGTTTCGTTCGCCATCTCACTCTTTTGGCCGAGTCCCCGAGGGTGTTGGGCAGGGACTCGAAGTCGGGGTAGTAAGAGGCTGCAGGTGCTATGACTTCTATTAAACCGCTGTCCACTTGTTTTGAAAACCTGAAAAATAATAACAGGCTGACCTGTACTCGTTTCTACATCCTTATAAATATTATAAATGTGAATGTGATTTTATTTGTTCGTTTGTTAGCTTATACCACCTAATTAATGAAATATATTATTTATGCATCATTTATATAAGTATGTATCTATATAATACAATTTTATCTTTGGCTGTTAAATTGGTTACACTCTGTGTTTGTTGCACACGTCCGTGTAGCCTAACTTCAGGCTGCAGCTGAAAATCAGTGCTTTGCTCTTAAGCAATACCATCACTGAGCTGTAGCCTATTTGACTCACTGCGACACACATGGCGAAACCATATTTTATCTTTTGTTGTACATTTTGAAAAGTGTAAATAATTTGATTGTATAAACTCATTTGTAAATTTACGTGTGTCATAAATGGCTGAAATAAAAAGTTTATCTATCTATCTATCTACCACCTTAACGAGGGGGGGGGATTACAAGTAATGCGGACTACAAGTCTCATTGCTAGCAATATACCCTGCCAGATTAACTTCCACTTTCCATTATCATCCATTAAAGAAACACCTCAACGGCTTAATCACACTATGAAAATTGGTATTCATGTACTATATGGAATGAAGAAGTTTATATGCTATATTATAGTTTATTGCCAGCAATATGCCCTATCAGGTTGTCTACCACGTGGTTCCCCCTGTAAACCATCGTGGACAATTCTTGTTGAATTCGTCACGATGGGCTAACTGACCTGCTACATCCTCACCTATCATTCTTCATTGGTGCCCCGCCGGTGTATACCGATAGCGAGGGTGGGGTTACCATACCATTATCATCCATTAAAAAAAATGTAGTTAGGCTTTGGAGATGTTTTTAGAGGGACGCTGCTGTCCAATCCTCGCCATTCCTTAGTCGCCTCTTACGACACCCAAGGCAAAGGAAGGGGTAGTCCGTTCTATACAAGGATCACACTATACTATGATATTACCATAAAATTACTATGTTGCTATATCGTTGTTGTGCAGCGAAAATTCATCAACTACAAAAAACAGATTCTGAGCTGCTAAATGCTATCAAAAACATTTGTAGAAAGAAAGCATAGCTTACACTATGCTTATCGCTGGCAGTGAGGATGAATATGATAGCACGCAGGTTTGCGCGGTGCTCTAGACAAGTTAAAACTACGCTATTTAGATCACATTGCACATCTTTCTATGCATGCAACCTGCGGGCTGTATATACTCAAAAATCCTACAGCGACCTCCGTATCCAATATAATAACGCGTTCAGGGTGTTGATGGGGCTGCCACGATTCTGTAGCGCGTCAGGGATGTTCGCCGAGCATTGTGTAGATTGTTTTTATGCCACGATGCGAAAAAGGTGTGCATCCCTGGTGCGCAGAGTACGTGCCAGCGCCAACAGCATCCTGAGTACGATGGCGAGCAGGCTGCACTGTGTGTACGTTAATCACTGCTGCGCAATTTCCAATGGAATTGTGCAGCGGTGATTATCTGTATATTATTAATTATATATTGTATGTGTGTGTATGTGTATTGTGTATGTAAATTTACTAACATTAGTTTTTAAGAATATTGTTACTAATAAATATTTAATGGACCAAAAAGTCCGAAATAAAAATTATTATTATTATTATAGCTTACAATTTCATAAAACTATGTGTAATGAATGAAATTTGAATATTTATTTTTTTACACTAAAATAAAAAAAAAATCAATTTAATTTGTTTTCGCGGAGTAAGGTCCGGTAGAATTGGTACTTAGGTACCTATTGACATTCTGTAATTTCAAAAAATATGAAAAATATAATGCTTATATTGTTTAAAATAGGGTAGATTATTATATTTCAAACCAAATGTGGCAAAAAAATAGGTTTTGCCAAAAATTTTAGTGATTTTTCGCTGCACAACGACGATATATACTTACATAGATTCAATTTGCCTGGCCGTGTTGAGGATATACTCCATGTCCGTCTCGCCTACCATCACAACGATCAGGGTCGAGTTCATATAATCATCAGTCAATCCGTCCACCAAATGCTGTAATAAAATATAATTATATTATTTATTAATTTTATTTTATACTTTATTGTACACACTCATAATATATAAAGGAATATGAGAGAGGTAAGCATATGTACAAAGACGAACTTAAAAGAGATCTCATCCAGCAAATCCAAAGTGGAAAGGAGCATCAATGTTAGCGAGTAGAGTTGTACCATATATATATATATAGTAATTCAAATGTAGGTATGTAACTATGTAATAACATTATAAAATATGTTTTTTATATATTTATTGTATATTGATTTATACATACATAAATACATAGGCAAAAACAGTGGAACGCCAAATGCTTCGATTCAAACAAACCTCTTTTGCTTCTTACACATTCATCAATCTTTTCATACACGCTCGCCGGTTACGGCCGTTATTAATTTATGTATAATTATTAAAAATAATATGAGCATTTATTATTCAGACTACAATATATATATATATATATATATATATATATATATATATATATATATATATATATATATATATATATATATATATATATGACATCAGGGAAGTGGCAGGAGTAACATAGGACAGAATGGCTCAAGAAAAGCGAGAATGGAAACAATTGGAGGAGGAATAAACGAGGAGCAATTACTAAAATAAATTCATATGTTTCATTAAGTCTTTTCATAGCATAATGTTTGTTTTACAGCAGTGTTATTTGGTTAATTTGATCTGAATAAAGGCTACATTTTTTTATTTATTGTTATTTTTATACCTATGGAATGGTAAACAAGTTAACGGCTGTTTTATCTGTACTAATCTTCTATTCTAATAATTAAAGATTAAAAAAAAACCGGTTTCAATTGTAATAATATCAATTCCTTTGATTTAAAATCTAATCTATAGAATGTTCAAGGGTAAAAACGATACAGTTAAATATTAACTCAATAATACCTAGTTAAAATGTGTGTGACATATCTAAATGTTTTTATTTTTAAATATATTTACATTATTACATGTATCTCATGTCTATATTTTAGAAATAATAGAATTTCAACGTGCCTCCGATCAAACTGTTTATAATTACTCCTCTCTATTCAAAGGTTGCCTGGAAGAGATCGCTTTTAGCGATAAGCTCGCCCATTGTTTTCCCATTGTGATTATTTCTTGTAATTGTTTATATTTATAATAAGTTTACTATTGTGTTACAGTAGATACCTATCAAGTATTACGACACACCCTCAACGACGATCGGACCACCTAGCATGAAGCAAGAAGGTGCGCTACCGAGTGAGACACCTGTGTCCAGTCAGCATTTCAATTCTTACAGCAAAAATACCCATTTCCTTTATGTTTGATTTTATATAACTTCACTTACGGATCACACATCGATCTGAACACACTTATTATTGTAATAATTAATTTTAGAATAAAATTTAGTTATATTTATAAAATCACAACGGAATCAATTCCGTTACAAAATCTATTATATGACGGAAATATGGCAGACTTTCATGTACCTTTTTATTTTTCTCAAAAAAAAAAATATGAAGATAAAGAATAAAATGTAATTTTACAGGAGGCTACACTTTGTTTTTCTGAAATTGACCTCCTTTCAAAGGATGCTATCGATTCCACCGTGTATACAAGTAAATATTGTGTACCCCAACATCACACTGCAACCAAATACAACACTTATTTCCGTTTTGAAGTGCAGAGTCCAATATAAAGCGAGGTTGTTTGTATTGACATAAATTCGTAACTTGGAAAATATATTTGTCAATAGCAATATGCGAGTTTCATTTTCGTCCAATGAATGGGTTTATTCCGAATTGGGTGGTAACAAGTAGATTTTGTGAAAAAAATCAATACTGACTTTAAACGTGGTGAAATAAGTTGTTTTTTGTGTGAAATAAGTTGTTTTGATTGACAAATCAAATTATTGAACTGAATTGTGTTTACATTTCTATGGAGTCAATCTGAATGTATATCCTTTTAGAGAATATATATATATATATATATATATATATATATATATATATATATATATATATATATATATATATAGAATCTATATATATTTTTATATACAGATTCTAAACATATATTATTTATGTATAGGTTAAGAATCTCCTAGTTTTTTGAAAGTCGGTTGATGAATTAAAATTATGTGTCTATGTATATATATATATAACGTTTTCGACAATTGTTTCGACTTATCTGCAAGTCTTCATCAGGAGGCGTACAGTGCTTGTCAAAATACCAAACATAGCGAGTTAATAAAATATATATATAATCTCAGCCATTATTCGTCCATAGCTAGACATAGGCCTTCCCCATAGTTAGCAGGTTTTGCCAGTAGTTGCCACGTTTGGCAAGCATGTTGGCATCCGCAGTTGGGCCTTTGGTAATGTTTTAAGAGGGACACTGCTGTCCATCCCTTCACCCTTAGCTCCCTTAATCACCTTTAACCACACCCACGGGAAAGAAAGTGGTGGTCCATTCTATGCTGGGACCACACGAATAAATTAAATATCGTTAAGTATGCACATGTTTTAAAGATAATTAAAATTCTATTTCGTAAGAATGTGTGATCAGTGAATCAACTTACACTAAGCGTGACTAGAAGGTAGCTCTCTTTGTCCCTCTTCACTGTTGGTATCCCCAAAACGATATCAGCAAACGTGTTCCCGGCTTTCATGTGGTACGCTGGCCGCAAACTTAATGGATCGTTCATTAGGTGCGGCAGCAGTTGGTACACGAACGGGACCCGCAGTGGCTGGAGATTCTTCGGCGAAACACCGGCGGCCGCGCGTGATCCTGAAACCGTATTTTTCCTTTACTTTATGGACAGATGGAAGTTTTAAATTCAATATTGGCAAACGACCAGAGGTAGACTTTGTACAAAAGTCGATTGCTTAGATACCTCTGTCCCATTCGTATTTCTACCGTGAAGCAGTTGTTATTTTTTATTTTATTTTTTTTATACAACTTAGAATGGCTGTCAGCTGACAACAAGCTGACGGCCCATCTGATGGAAAGTGGTAACCGTCGCCTATAGACATGAGCAGTACCATGGACATAACTGAGTATACTGTTTCGCCCATGATACCCCCCTTGCGTTGCCATTCCTGAGGACTCAGGTATTATTTCTCTGTACTCAGTAAATTCACGCCATATCCCACCCTTCAAATCGAAACACAGCCATGCAAACATGCGATTTTTCCATTTATGTTTACTTAAACAATGAATTGAAACAATGAATTGAAGAAATTTCAATAAGGAAAATGGCGACGGTTACCACTTTCCATCAGGTGGGCCGTCAGCTTGTTTGCCATTCTAAGTTGTATAAAAAAAAACTTAATAAAATAAAATTAAAAATTAATAATATTAAATACAAATAAATTACATATATATAATAAAAGGAAGTCTAGTAAAAAGAAAAGAAAAAAAAATACGAATAATATTAAAAAATAACAGATGTTCAACGCAGGCTCAATAAAGTTGAAACGAAAGAAAAAAAAAATTAAAAAGAATAATAAAAGAAAAACAAGTACGGAGAAAACTGTGCGGTGGCAAAGGGAATGGGCATGCAACTTACGTTTAAATAGGAGTACACTGAAGTTGGTTTCGATTAAAAGAACAAAGTATTACAAAGTTTAAAATCCGTAAGATAACGGTCAATGAGTCAGAGATGAAACCAGATCGATGAGAGAAACTAGAACTTGTTAGTTTACGAAGGCAGCACTCTCATTGTCGTCTCCGTAAAAGTGATTTTTCTACGTACATACTCAGAAGAACTCGAGTTGTGGATAATTGAAAAAAGCGTTAACAAAATACGCAGCTGTCTTCGTTGCCGTATACGAGTAGGAAACTATTTCAGTTGAGATCGGAATTTGGAAATATGATCAAATTTACGGACACTGTTATTTTATTTATTTATTCAGAGGGAGACTTTGTACAAAAGTCGATTGCTTGTGTACCTCTGTCCCATTCGTGTTTCAACCGTGAAGCAGTTGTGTTTGCATGGCTGTGTTTCGGTTGAAGGGTGAGATATGGTGTGAATTTACAGGGTCCAGAGGAATAACAGTTGAATCCTCAAGAATGGCAACGCATGGGGGGTATCATGGGCGAAACAGAATACTCTGTTATGACCATGGTATTGGTCATGCCTATAGGCGACGGTTACCACTTTCCATTAGGTGGGTCGTCAGCTTGTTTGCCATTCTAAGTTGCACAAAAAAATCAAATCTTTACTCTTTATAATACTAGTATAGATGTACAGACATAATCAAGTTATAATTCAATTATATTAGTAAAATATATATAATAAATACTACTTGCAAAAACAAGGACAATTCTCAGCTTATTTTAAAATATTATATTGCATTCGAACAAAATCGAAGCAAAATCGAACAGCATAATTCCGGGGACAAAAGTCCCTCTCAATCATAAGTCAATGTAAGCAATAACAACAATGCCACTTGCACAAGGGACGACACGTACGACACACGTCAGAGATATTATTGTACAGCAGCGTTTCTCAAACTGGGAATTAGAATCCCATTGAGTTCCTGTTCAATATTACATGAGGGTCTTAATATGATGGGAGTAACTAATATATAACAATATTTATATATTGTAGTTACTACATCATTAATCTTTCAACTGTGTCATGCAAAATGGTGGAAAATCCACATCTGTGGCGTCCCGTGAGCGGACTTTACACAGACTAGGTATTGTTAGCGTATAGGTTTAAAAAACCTGATTTTTCCGAAATCTAATTGGAATTATACAAAATTCAGATTAGATTTGTATTCCAACTAGATACCTTATGTAATTTCTTACACTACACTCGACTTGAATTGCAATGCAACTGTTCTATGAGAAATAACATGGGGTCACCTATAAATTACCTTTTATTTTTCAATTATTAAAAAACTAAGAGACATTGCTGGATGTACAATTATATATTTTTTGTACAATATTATATACTTGATAAAATAAAAATAAAATGGCTTATGTTCCAATATTTTTTTTTTATACAGCACTTGTTTATAAACATGGACCAAAGAAGTCCCTCTTCAATTGACACTTAAGTGGGTCTCATATTTCATTAGTATTACGTACATTCTTGGCGTCAGGGACATGAGATGGTTTGTTTTCAATAATTTAAGCTTATCGCCAAGCTAGTTTTGACAAAACAGTATATATGACATTATTATCTATATGTCCGTTAAGCGGACGCGACACAGATGCACATTTTTTGACGCGACGCAGTTGAGAGGATATATTGTCCCAATCCCCTATATAATCATCGGTTATACAAAATTTAATATTTATTCTTTATATTGCAGTTTTAAATTACATTATTAATGCATTTATAAATGTTGTGAGCAAGGGTGGACTTATCTCTGACAGAGATCTCTTCCAGTCAACCCGATACAGTTGGAAAGCATGCAGTTAACGGGCAGCTAAAGTACAAGTATGTATTGGTTATACATAAACAAATATAAAGATAAACAGTTAAATGAAATATTAAAATATATAATAGAATATTACACAAATACTTATAATATAAATAATATTTAATAATATTTTTAATTTGTTGTCAAAGATTTCTTTTTTATATAATTTTTCTTTAATATACAGTCAGAAGTATAATTTTTCCTATTTTTTTGTATTCTAAATTATAATAAATTTTTTTTAATGGTTATGGTTATACATGGTTTATACATACATGGTTATATATGGTTATACAGGTATTATTTTCATAATTATATGAAACTAATACCTGTGTAAGAAAGTAGTAAGAAAACATTAGTGTTTTTCTGAAAAAAATCTTTTATTAACGTCTGAGCATTATTATTGACAATGTTGGTGTAGTTTTCAATAGTATTTGTTTGTTTAATTTTGTTTATATTTGTTTAATTTTATTTAATTTAGTATTGTCTAATTTTGTGTTTCGTTTACTTGTATTTTATTTTGTGCAAATTCTAGTGGCTACCATATTACTATTTAAGTATATAATTATGTATTATTTTAGCTGTTTTTTTTGCCATAAATAAATATAATATTCAAATGAAGAACTTGATCGAAAATAACTATATCTATAGTTACGTCATTTACTGTCAATTGTTTTACTTGTTTAGAAAAACTTACAGAAAACCTAATTGCTTCTCATGAACAAAAAAGTATTAATTACTTTGGTGCTTGTCTCTTTAAAGATGACATTTTTTTTAAAAATGACTCTTTAAAATCACCTCAGAACTGTAGTCAAGGCCTACAATCTTGATATCTTGCCTATTCAAGCTACCCACTCCTTTCACAACTGCTTTCCTTCTTTACTCGATCTTATCTTAGTTGTTTCTCCTCTTCTTGTCGTAAAGCATGGACAAAGTTCTGCTGATGCATTTTCTTGTAACGGTCTCATTTTATTCTCTTACCAAACCCGTTCCCCAAAATATAAACACAAAATCCTTATGCAGCGTAACTTTGGAGCTATAGATACTGATCACTTGCAGAAGGGCTTAATAGATCTGGACTGGACATCAGTACATAATGCTTCTGTTGATGGCCTAATTGCATTATTTAAAAGTCTCATCACTGTCTATGATCATCATGCATACATCTATCTAGTGCGTGATAGACACCTATCTACACCTTAGTTGACACAAGAGATTAAAACTATTCAGGCTCAAAAGATCATGGCCAAAACTAACATTTTTCAAAATTTATGGTGAAGAATTGACTAAAAGACGATAATTTTAAGATTATTTCTACGCTTTTTAAAGTACGAGTGAAACATCTTCGAATGAATTTTCTCCAGTAAATGTTATTTTAACACTTTTAACTTTGTTATTTATTAACCATCATCTTCTACCCTTATCCCAATCATTTGGGGTCGGGCGTAATATGATTTTATCCATGTTACAAAAAGATTTGGTTTTTAGTTTTACAACCGGCCGGATTGGTTTTTAGTTTTGTTATTTATTGACCAATTAAAAAAAAAATCAAACACTACTGTAGAGGGAAAGCTTTAAATTTTGTAGTGATGTTATTAGAAAATACTATAATAGACGCTGTATTTTAAAAAAAGTATACATTTTTTTTTGTTTTTCTCATATTTTATTATATATATATTTTTTAATAATAATTTAAAAAAGAAATTTACATATTTCAAAATTTAATTTATGCTTTTATTCTTTTGTTGGCCGCATAAATTAAAATCATACTAATTTTGTCCAAAATATAAAATGTCTGTGTGTATATAAATTTGTCTTTTATAAATTTATTCCAAATTATAGTTTACAGAAGTAGATTTATTATTTTGTTTAGAAATATAGGAAATATCTTTTTATAACATATCCAAATACGCTAATATAAAGCCAATTGTAAAATAATAATTATTTATTGAATTCCTCATTATTTGTCCGCCATTTTGAATAATAAGCGTAATTATGTATTCTAAATTCAAAAAATGTCTATTAAGCGCGTTGCCTCTAATGAATATGGTGTTGGTGAAATCCTTCCACTATTTCGATTTTTTTTAATACCACAAAGATTGTAAACAAGCGTATACACATCTTGTTTTCAAAATTTGCATTTATTTAAGCTTATAATTTTTTTCAATTAAATTTTTGTCTTTTAATGAGTCGGCACACAGAAACTTTGAGAAACAATGCAATAGTACAAAAAAATCCGTTTAGAGTACCCGGAGGACTGCGCCGTGAGAACTGACCCTGTTTGTGCAGGCTTTTATGCAATTTACAACGGTTTATTATTATGCAAACATATGGGTTTGTTCCCAACATACTGCATTTTATACATTAATACCTTTATTTGTTGTTTGCACATTACTGCAGCGGCCAGCAACTGAGGCATTGATAGACGATACGTGAGTCCATCAATGCCTAGTTGTGGCCAAGGCTTGTATAGTACTTTGCTCAAACAATGCGCGGAAATCAAAAACACAATTTTACTTTTTAAGTTCAATGACGAATAACGAACAATAATATTTTTCTCGTGCCATAATGTTCCTTTGTTTTTTTCAATAAACAGCTTTCTATTTGCAAGCCAGTTCGAAATTTAAATAAAACCTTTTATTAGTTACCTACTTGGTAGCCATGTTTCGAAGTCAAAGATCATTCCATTTTTAAATTACAGGACAGATATGAGTTTACATAGTAATTTATCTGGCCACAAAACACGACAGATATGGATTTTCATACAACTTTTGCCGGCCGCTGCCCGCACGTATCTGGCCAGTACGGCAATTTTGATTTATCTCGAAGAAGATTGTCAGAATAATGCTCACATTTCCAAGCGTGTTTGAGAAAAATATAATTGTGAGTAGATGATGTCTGTAGGAGACCATAATCATCATCAGCGTATCAGCCTTTAACTGCCCACCGCTGAACATAAGCCTCCCCCTTAAGGGGTTTTGTTAGTAGTGGCCACGCTTGGCAGTTGGATTAGCAACCAGCCTAACTAGCTTTGGAGATGTTTTGGACGCTGCTGCCCATCCCTCGCTCTCCCTTACTCGCCTCTTACGACACCCACGTGAAAGAAAGGCGTGGCTTATTCTATACCGGGACCAAGCATGTTTGAGAAAAATATCATACGACTCATAATCTAAATATATAAATTTATTTTAGCTATTGAAGTGTTTTATCTCTTTTCCGCTGAATTCCCAAAGAAGCAACACACTCCATTAGTTAAAATAGGTTTATAGGTGGTTTCATGTTTTATTCCCATACCTGTAACAAAAGGTTTTGTACTCACGTCGCCTGCATGGGTACCTCAGTCCCACTCGCGTGTTTGCCGTGAAACAACTGCGCTAGCACAACAGAATCCGAAATAAGGATATCCGCAGACGAACCAAGGTCATTAACACAGCCCAAAGGATAAGCAAGCTGAAGTGGCAATGGGCGGGTCACATAGCTCGATGGGGAAGAAAGGTTTTTGAGTGGCAACTCCTTACAGGCAAATTTAGTGTAGTACGATCCCCCACTAAATGGAGTGACGACGAAATGCATTGCAGGGAGTCAGTGGATGCAGGTGGCGTAGGACCGTTCCTTATGGCAGTATATGGGAGAGAGGGAGACTTTGTACAAAAGTCGATTCCTTGAGTACCTCTGTCACATTCGTGTTTCTACCGTGAAGCAGTTGTGTTAATAATACCTGAGTCCTCAGGAATGGCAACGCATGGAAAGCATAGGTAGTCGTACAAACGAGAACCCGGGATCCAACATAAGCGCCTCGAGGTACGCCGTGTGGTTTTTAGTGGGTACGAATCCCACACACCCCAGCTGCCCGCCCTCCGGCAGATGGGACGGTCTTGCTGAAGATTTTCCACACGAAATAAAAAAGGTAAGAGATAGATCACTCACCAGTCATATTCTTCAAAAGCGCCACTACTTCTGGTGACATTGTAGACGTGGAAACATCGTCCGCTGATGTTATGCCCCGGACATCTTCCCGACCTAGTAATTTCGCCTGAAATAAACGAACCACGATTACAATACAATCAACATCATCATCATTATCATCATATCAGCCTTTAACTGTCCACTGTACATAAGCTTCCCCTTTAGGGGAGTTGCCACACTTGGTAGGTGGATTAGCAACCGCAGTTAAGTGTTGGAGACGTTTTAAGTGGGACGTTGCTGTCCATCCGTCGTCCTTCTTTAGTTGCCTCTTACGACACCCATGGAAAAGGTAGGGGTGACCTATTCTATCCCGGGACCACATGGCTACACTTATAATTTTAGAAAAAAAAACCTAAATTAATGCCATAATTACACAATCGCCATAGGGTAGTAACCTTCTCCTTGGGGTAGTTTCCACTACCCCAATGAGAAGGTTTATGTTCAGCTGTGGACAGTTAAAAGCTTATAAGATGGTGAATTATATTAAGAGTAAAAATGACTTTGCTTGTTACCACTTGTTTTTTATGGGTGAAAATGGAATGGTAACCCCGCCTGCGCTAACGGGATACGCTGGCGGAGCACCAGTGAAGGGTGATAGATGAGAACAAAAACAGGCCAGTTAGCCCATCATGATGAATTCATCAGGAATTAACCATGATAGTTTCCAGGAGGAACCATGACCTGGTTAGGTATATTGCTAGCAATGGGATTTTTAGTCTCCATTACTAACAACCTCTTTTCCCCCCGCTTGTTACCACTTAGCACCTCAACGGTTAAACCAATCACTATAAAATTCGGAATGCATGTACTATATGGGCTGGGAAAAAGACGGGCTTACCACTGTTAGTAAACATATCCTATATTCGAGGTGTTTATAAAATTGTCCTTGTGTTGACCACGTGATAGCTATTTAGCACCTGCTGTGGAAAAATGTATTGTCACGCCACTACGCTAGATACAAAATCAAGCACCTTGGTTATTAGAAATATTTTGTTTAATTACCGTGATTGGTAAATAAACCTAATCAAATAACGAATGATATGGACTTCCCCAAGATAACACTAACTTCAATAGAATACTTATGTTATCGTAAACCATGGAAAACATTTTATTTCGTATTTAACATTAAACCTACCGACATTTCATAATACCTAATCCTACCATGAGCGTCAAATGACCGCTTTAAAATAATGTATGTATATTAATATAGGAAGAGATTTTAGCCAATTGGATAGTAAACAAGTAAATTATAGTTAGTTGTAAATATTGAAAAATGGCTTGTATGTATATTACAGGACAAGTCAATGAGTTACATGGTGATACAGCAACGTTATACATAAAAAATGGTCAATTGACCGCGCTTGGTAGGTTTAGTGTTAAGAGCTGTGCTCTTGCCGGTTGGGCTCTTAAAACTTATTACGATTTTCAGCGAGTCTCTTCACCTCTTTATATGACACGATACCTATTTTTTCCCTGATATACCTGATGTAATTATGCCTTGGTCTCCTTCTTACTATATATATATATATATATATATATATATAGCCTACTTTGCAGTTTTTATACGTGAAAAACATTTTTGCAATCGCTTGAGTAGTGTTTGAGTTTATTTTTTTTATTTTATCTTTATTTGGTCTCCTAGCAATTGTTACACTGATAAGATTTAATATTAAAATTACTGTCTATTTATACTTAGTGTACAATCATTTTAAAGGAAACACAGCATGCTAATTAACAAATAAACTATAATATGGCATAACAAACTCTTGAAGTATTTGACATTGGTATTGTTTTTTAGATTCAGTAGATGATTGCTTCACATAAGTTTTTTAGCTATTTAAATTAACTGCAATGCTTTCCTATAGAAATCCCCTTCTGTATCGAAGTGAATATCCAAGTGTTGCTTGCAATCATTCAACAGCTTGCAAAGACGTGGTACAGTTTACCCATTATTATAGCGTTTTCTCCACTTCAGTTGTCCCTAAGGGTAAAAGGGGGAGGCCCCCATCTTTTTCCACTTCTCCTTATCTGTAGCAATATTTGTCCAATTTTTTCCTACTGTCTTTATGTCATCAGCCCATCTCTTTTTTTGCCTTCCAACACTTCTTTTTCCTGCTGGACCTCGCCATTTTGTTGTTTGGAGAGTCCACCTTTTCTCTTTGTACCTCACTATATGACTAGATAAATATATATACATATGGTATAAGTGCATAGAATTATCATGTACAATTGATTAAAAGATGTGATTTCAGTCTTCTCTCGAAGGAAGTAATGGAAGGACTATCCCGTATGTCAGCAGGTAGCCTGTTCCACAGTTGCGCAGCGCGAAATGTAAAAGAGTTTCACATTTCGTGCTGCGCAACATTCGTGGACACTCATTATTATACATGGTTTCTTTCATACATGTGCTTATATTACTTGCATACACCCACTCTAACTTGTCTGCCTCGCTTTGGAATCATAATTTATGTTTGTATAAATAAAATCCGTTATTGGCTGTATTCATAAGACACTTAGCATGAAAGGTATTTTTTAAGAGCTTTGGATTTTTGTATAAAATAAAAAAAAAAAACCTCCTAAGGGAGAGGTTTATGTTCAGCAGTGGACAGTTAAAGGCTGATGATGATCACTAAATAACAAATCGAAACTCAATCAATCAATTAAACAATTTTGTATTTTTACTACATATTACTTACCTGTAAGGTAATGACGTCCTCCTGCCGCGTCCGGTACTGCGACTCCAGAAAGTCAAGGTTTGCTCGGATCTCGGTAAGCTGCTGCTCCATTTTGTTCTCGCAAGGAAGCTGGACTGGAAACAAGGAGAAACAAATTTCAATAACAATACATTTCTTACAATACTTAGAATGGTAAACAAGCTGACGGACCAGCTGATGGAAAGTGGTAACCGTCGCCTATAGACATGAACAATACCATGGACATAACTAGGTATACTGTAATGGCCACGAAACTGTTTATACTATAGTATTGTGGCATGTGGTCCCGGTATAGATTGAGATAGTGGTCCGGGCCACGTCTTTTCTTCCCGTGGGTGTCGTAAGAGGCGATTAAGGGAACCTAATGGTCGAATAATAGACAGCAGCGTCAGCGTAAAGTTGCATAAAAAATTTACTATATCCCTATACTGTTAGAAAATAGCAGATAGACAAATAGGTATGTCTTACTTATCTCAGGTTTAATTTAAACACGCCAGGTACATACATTTTTTGCATATTCATGAATTTCCAATACGTAGACATGGCCCTTCATAACTTATCAACGTCAAAGTGAAATAACTGGCGAGATGTATTATATTTAGATAAGTAAATATACAACAATAAAATAGCATTATTTGAACATAATTACCGATAACGTAAGAGTAAAGCTAGACTGCCTCCCTTTATGTGGTTTTTTCTTTAATGGATAATACCTGGCTGGCGGGGTACCAGTGAGGGATGATAGATGAGAAAGAAAAGGCAGGTCAGTTAGCCTATCACGATGAACACACTTGGAACTTAGAACGATGGTGCTACGACGACGGTGTCGGAAGGTAGAAATGTTTTAAAAACATAACTAGATTTCAATTAAGAGGTGTCTTTTTACGGCGCATGGAAAGTGGTATGGCCAATATATCGATTTACATACATACAAAAAACATACAACCGTTTTTATTACAAACTACTTAAAAATACGCACTAGCTGTATAGGAAAAGGAACAAAAAATTACCTGTTCAACATTGTAATTTAATCGATCAATTTACGATTTCGAATCGATTAATTATATAATTATGATAATGATTGATTTAGGATGCGTATGGTCTTGACCAACAAACACCATTTAGGGAACACGATGACTACGTATAATGTATACATACATACATACATATCTGTCACGCCCGTGTCCCATTAGGGTAGGCAGAAACAGTGGAACGCCAAATGCTTCGATTCAATCAAACCTCTTTCGCTTCTTCCACATTCATCAATCCTTTACGTATAAGGTATATAAGCATGTCTCATTGTATCTCACTGTGATGAATTGTGAAGAGGAAATAAATCTATTTATTTATTTATTATTTTATTATATATATATATATATATATATATATATATATATATATATATATTTACAAGTATCACATCTCCATATTTAGAAATAATAGAGTTTTCAACGTACCTCTGATCGAGATCGATGAGAGATCGCTCTTAGCGATAAGGTCGCCCATTGTTTTCTCATTGTGATTATTTCTTGTAATTGTTTATATTTATAATAAGTTTACTATTGTAATCTTTTGGAGGAAACAATAAAGAGTATCTATCTATCTATCTTGATACTATTTACCTATAAATCCCGATTGTGTATTTAAAATATATGTAAACAACGCGAAAGTTTAAAATTAACTGATTTACCTGCTACATAAACGAGAAAGGTAAACCAGTCTATGTCCACTCTCACTGTCAATGTATGTTAAAAATACAATTTCCCATTACCAAATCAGCATGGTGTACGTTACCTGTCACTGCCATGAGAGTCTGTTTTATTTGAGAACTGTCATTTCCATGACAGTATGTCGTATACACGTTGGACTGTAATCTGGTCTTTACAAATGTATTATGTAGTAAGCTAAGATTCTGAAATTTTTGGTTGTAACTGTACCAAAAATAAAAAAAATCACTCGTCATTTGCACAAGTATAATAAATCTGTAGAGAGGTCAATTCTGTACATGAAATATATTTCCAATACAACTATCAGCGGGAGATTAGTGATCGATACTGATGCCAAAAATGCAATCAGTAAAATTTTTGTCTGTCTGTCTGTATGTTCGATATAGAAACAAAAACTACTCTACTCGACGGATTTTAACAAAACTTGATACAATTATTCTTCATACTTCTAGGCAGGTTATAGTATACTTTTCATCACGCTACGATCAATAGGAGTAGAACAGTGAAGGGAAATGTGTCTGTTACATCAAAACCACTGAACCGCGAGGAGGGACATAGGTTACTTATTTTACGAAAAACGACGTAAACGCGGACGAAGTCGCCGGGAACAGCTAGTCTTGCTAATATATAATGAAATTGTCACTGTCACAGACGATGACTGTATGATATATATATATATATATATATATATATATATATATATATATATATATATATATATATATATATATATATATATATATATATATATATATATATATGTTTTGTAAACAGTAAAACAGTACTTTTTTGCAATTTGTTTTTAATTTTGTTTAACTGTCCATTTGTACGTTTCCTATATTCACAATTGTCTTCTTGGAGGTCTCATTTAAAATCTAATATATGTTTTATTTTGATACGCCATTTGGCCTATTTTTATAGTTTTCTATTTATGTAATCCACGTGTACAAAGCAGTGAGTAAAAACCTAGTTCATTAACTAGTTTTATACAAGTTAAAACAATAATATTGATAGCAATACAAAACAAAACTTTGTACAAAAGTCGATTGCTTGGGCACCTCTGTCCCATTCGTGTTTCAACCGTGAAGCAGTTGTGTTTGCATGACTGTGTTTCGGTTTGAAGGGTGGGATATAGCGTGAATTTACTGGGTACAGAGGAATAACACCTGAGTCCTCAGGAATGACAACGCATGGGGGGTATCATGGGCGAAACAGTATACTCTGATATGTACATGGTACTGCTCGTGTCTATAGGCGACGGTTACCATTTTCCATCAGGTGGGCCGTCAGCTTGTTTGCCATTCTAAGTTATATATATATATATATATATATATATATATATATATATATATTGCCATATAGTTATTAGCAATTGTTATTATACAGTTGCATTTGTTTTAAACAATAACACAATGTCCCAGGTGGAATAGTTCTGAACGAGGTAAACAGATCTTTGCAAATAATAACATTATCTTAAACTTGATTATTATGGAAGTACCAAACTATGTAAAACTATACAAGTATATAAGTAATCTATTAAATATTGTTTGAGGGCAAGTTCAAGTTCTGGAGAAGACTGACACATCGCCTGTACGTGACGGTTCTTTTTTATACAACTTAGAATGGCAAACAAGCTGACGGCCCACCTGATGGAAAGTGGTAACCGTCGCCTATAGACATGAGCGGTACCATGGACATAACAGAGTATACTGTTTCGCCCATGATACTCCCCATGCGTTGCCATTCCTGGGGACTCAGGTGTTATTCCTCTGTACCCAGTAAATTCACGCCATATCCCACCCTTCAAACCGAAACACAGCCATGTAAACACAACTGCTTCACGGTTGAAACACGAATGGGACAGAGGTACCCATGCAATCGACTTTTGTACAAAGTCTCCCTCTGGTGAAACAGTAATGTGTCATTGGCAAAAAGATGAGAATGTGACAATAACATTACGTAGGCAAAATACCCTAATATCGGGGTGAATGGCACTAAATAAGAAAACTGGCCAATAGGCCATTTTAGTATAATCTTTTTTGTTTTTTTTTTTTTATTTAGTTTAGTACTAATAGACTTTTGATTAGATTTTTTTTTTATTTTTATTTGCGACTATGTTAATTTTTATATGTACCAATGTATTGATTGTTACATTTTTTTTTCGAATACATTTATTCAAAATATTCTTTGTTACATAAGTTTCAGAGACGTTTCCTCCCACGAACACTCAGGTTGTGGAATGAGCTCCCTGCCGAGGTTTTCCCAAGAGACTACAGCATGGGATTCTTCAAAAGGGGGGTAAAGAGGTTTCTTCAGGGTTGGCAACGCACGCGTAATACCTCTAGTATTGCAGGTGTTCATAGGCACTGGTAACCGCTTACCATCAGGTGGGCCGTATGCTTGTTTGCCACCTCAGTGGTATAAAAAAAAGTTGATAATTATTGTTTCTTTTTTATTTATTTAGCATTAGTACTTATAGACTTTTGATTAGTTCTTTTTTTTTAATAAATTTATTTTTATTTGTGACTGTTCATTTTTATAACAATATATTGATTTTTACATTTTTACCCCAATATAGTTGTTAAAAATGAAACTTTTTAGATAAGTTGATAAATAGTATTATTTTTTTAAAAAGAAAATTAAAGGCAAACAAATAATAACAAAATATATACACACAAATATATCACGTCAATAGACGGAATTATTATTGAAATTAATATATATATATATATATATATATATATATATATATATATATATATATATATATATATATATATATATATATATTAATTAAAATCAGCACATATATAAACAACAGTTTACGTGTATATATAATAACTTCACGACGAGTTAAATAAATAGGTTGGACGACTTAAAAAAAAATATTTGTTGTTAAGCCAAATCTACTTGTACATATGTATTATGTGTCTAAACTTTTTGGGTGGAAATGGAGTTCCTATAAATTTCCTTTATTTTCTACTTTATGGGGACAAAACCAGTTATTCAAAAGCGATATTCATAAAAATTCAATGGAAGTCTATGAGACCTGTATATATATCCTTTTAGATAAAAAAGAATTTCCAAATCGGTTTAGAACAGACGGAGTTATGAGGTAACAAACATAAAAAATATATATTCGAATCGACAACCTGCTTCACGCGCATATTAATATAAATATAAGCTATTGTTAATAAAAATATAACTTAATTTGGAATAAGTAAAAATAAAATTAAATTAAGAAGGTATCATAATAAAAAAAGAAAATAAAAAAATAAAGAATCGACTGTTAGGCGGAACGAAGTTCGCCGGGTCAACTAGTTAGTATAATATAACCTTGTTGCGCATGCATACTACGTTCATACCAA